TTCACTTGACCCACTCACCGTTGTGGCACAACATTGGATCAGCTTGCTTGTGCCACTGGTCTGACGGGCCACCGCCACGAGAAGAAAAAGGGAGCCAGACTGTTCAGGATACACGGGTCTCAATACCCTTAACTCATCCCGTGCCCTCTCGCTTCTATGCGAGCCAGTCCAGTCGTAAGTCAGGAACCCCATTTTCGCGAGTTTGACTCTTGTGTGATGCCAACTCAGACATCAATCCTGCGATGAGACTCAACACTATCATCTCTGGCCCTATTTGCCAGACTATTCGGAGACTAGCAATTCCATCCCATGTTTGTACTTCCCCATGAATTCCGAACGTGGGGGCCAGATGCGCCAGTTCATGCTGGTACTCGGTACGGATGTCGGGTGGCCGCCCCGGATCACGTCAGGCGCATCTACCGTGCAACACCAAGGGTACTAATACACAACATGGTACCGGTGCCTACACTTTGGTGATCCAGGCTGGCTCAAGGATGTAGCACCCTGGGAAGAAAGGCTGATGTAATCCGGGGGAATCTGAATGGGCTGGATCCCACACCAATGTACTCCAAGCATGGTACCTCGGCGTCTCCCAAGAGTCTCCTCATCTCATTTCCCCTCCACGGGGTGTGGCTGCTGTTGTGTAGCCAAATCTTTCTCGAGTCAGCCTAATTACGAAGAATACCTCCTAGATACCCTCCGGATGGTTTGGTACGCTTCGAGAAGTATTTTCAGAATTTCTCACCTTCAGCCTCATTGGTGAATTACCGATGGGGTTGTGACATACAATATATTCCTACCAGCTGTCGGGAATATCTACCCCTGGACTGATATTGAATCACTCATATTGCCCCAAGGAAGCTTTTGGGAGCCAAGCGTGCCGGGGGAAGTGGGAAGTAACGCTCACCACCTTGAATACTGGCACGGTCCGTTTCTTGGTGGCTCATCTCGTTTCAAGCTACGAGTTGAGAAATACCATATGACCTAGGTTAGTAAGACGTTCGCACATTGTTTCGGAGAGCACCTCTGCGGCACAGCGACGGTCAGAGCGCAAAGTCGGTGATTAAGGACGACGACCCATGATGGTCTTTATGGCTGGGTAGGTAAGTTGACGTTACCCTCCGTTCTTCCATTCATACCCTTAGACGAATTGGATTGCTTCCCATATCCCCTTTCTGAGCCTATATCGAGGCATGGAAATGGTCCGAGCCATCACAGGATTCTTCGGTTGCCTGATGTGTTGTAACAATGGGTACACACCTGAAGACGGGGATGTCTACGGTTACCGAATGTCACTAGTTTGCAATCAGTTATCTTTTACTTGGGAACTGGCATTGTATCGCTGACAAAATGCAGTGCCATTTCGGTTTGTCCTTACCGGATTGCGGACCATCTGGCACAGATAAATAACGACGGCCTGAATCCAATAGGTAACAAAGCCCTCCCAGCTCACGTCCTTGTTGAAACTTTGAGCCAAAAATACTCCTGCCACCTTTCCACGTCCATGGAAATGGAAATGGTTCAAGACATTGTGCATTCACAGGGTGCCTACAGCAAAATATACCCTACAGATCATAATCGGCTGGATTACTCTAGGTACTATGCATAGGGGTCCAACGGGCGCATAGACTAGTCTGGCAGTCTGGTACCGACAGGCACAGGGCATGACATGCTATTAGAGGCGTCCCGGGATTTCACTTCCACTTGTTAGGTTTCTTGACCTACCTAGATAGGCCAACATCATGTTAGCTGGAGGCACCGAACGGTGGATGAGGCTCATCAAACTCACGTGCAATTGTATGCCATGTCATCGTACCCCAGCAGCCCAGCCGTTGCTTAACGGTTCGGTTACAGTAGTGTAGGCATCGGTCGCCATTCCGTCGCGCTTAGGCTAAATGGACCGGATAAAAGGAGACAGGCATGACAGGGTTGTAGCTTTAACGAATAACGGCGTCGGTAATTGGATTTGGAGATGCCAATGCCAATACCGAGCGGCAGTCGGTCAGGTCAGGGATCTCGAACGTGCACGGCCTGCCGTCGTCGGAATTACCAAGCAAAGAGCGAGCCGTTCTGGATGTTATGACTCCCTCCCTGGAGTCCCTGCCTCCCTCGTCCATGGATTCGGGAGATACCTTATAGATGAGTGTTTTGTTACATACGCTGGGTCTCCTGGAGAACGATAAGAAAGATGATTTGTCCAGGACCGAATGGAACCTGAGATGAACCGTGGGTTGAGGGTTAAGTGGAAAGTTAACGGAGGGCGCCTGGATCTGGGCTCAGGGAGACAACGGTCTCTTCGAGGCCCTGGCCCCGGCCCTGGCCCCGTCTGGTAAAGCCTGAGTCGGCGTCTAGTTCATCAAGGCAGAGAGGAAGATGGGGAGAAGTGGGGCTGGCCCGGCCCAACCCGGTTCGGCCGGAGGCCGGATGAGAAGGACCGGAGAACATTCGCGGCCAATTACGGTGAACGAAAGCTCACGCTTGGGAAATATTGAAGTTGCTTTGTATCAAACGGTTTTGAGAAGGTAAACCTAAGACGAGGAGTTCGAAAAGAAGCATCTCAACGTGGAGGCGTCCACTTGCCCTTCGTGTTGAGCTCGCCACCCCGTACCATGTGGCCACTCCGTGAGAACGAATCTAGGAGAGTATGCTCCGTGATACTTTGAGTGCCGCCTGAAACAGTATCGGCACAGGTCATATGGAAACTTCTTGTTTTCCACAAAAGCTAAAATTCCGGATGAAACTAGTGGTGTTTCCAGCCAACTGGGTGCATATTATAGCGGGCAGGGACGGAATGGTTGAGGTACTTCTTTCCCTCAATCACCATCGTGAACTTACTGAGTCACGTCAGTCCCTCTCTGTACTCTCTCGACGTTCCCCGATAACACAATAAGATCTCTTCCAGAATGGGGCGAATCTGCGATCCATCTGTCTGGTTGGTGGTAGCACCCGCGAAGACTGGAGGCGCTGGGCGTCACGACAGCTGTCAAACAGCAAGCGTGCTGCTTGTGGTGGTGTCAACGTGAGCAAGAAAAGGGTGTGTGAGTGGCATGTTCAGGCAACATCACGCCCACACCATCGGGGCGGCTATGCGTGATACTGGCGCTGTGTTGGGAAAGATCGCAGATTGAAGTTAGATACCACGGTGAAGAAGCCTCGTGCTTCTTTCTGTGTTGGGTCAACAGTGTCCATCCAACCAAGTAAGTACCTAATGAATATCCAACCAAAAAGGAGAAGGAAAAATAGAGTGAGCCGGCGCCGGACTTGAACCGGCAGCTTCCAGTATACTTGGAATCAGCTCACGAAGAACTCTCTCGCATTACTCCCGGCTGCACTAGTGGGCTACGGAATAAACACTCAGTAACCTGGGTAATATACCCTCCAAAGGTAGGTACTTGCTCGGGCTCTGGATCCTACCTACGGGAGTATTTCTGCAATAACACCAACTAACTTACAGGAACAAATGATCTTCTTTACGGATCTCAAGTTCTTGCGGGATCACTCCCGGCAAACCGACTGCGCTATCAGACTACTGAAGCGGCCGTTTGCGTGGTGTGATGGAAGGTGCTTATGATTGCCAGAAAGAATCTTCATTAAGAAGCTGAGGCGTGCCTCCCTGATGGGATTGGATGTGACGGGACGAGATGGAAAGAACGGCCAGCAGTCGCGAGAAGGAAAGGCGGGAATGTGGACGTGAGAAGCATGGGACTGAAGCGGGCATCCACGCACGCACACACCTGCGGTGACATGACCTGCGGCCACTGCACCACAATTTTTCTGTCCCCGACCATCCCACACATGCACCAGAACTGAAAGATTTCGACAGATTGTACGGTGCCTACTTGATCCGTCCGTCATCCCCAGGAAAAACACTCGAGTGAGGCGTCAACGGCGCTGACGAACACGAGCCCGCCATTACGAACAAACTCCCGCGTCGGGACACAGCTGAGATCATCCGTCCGCTTGCACACATGGCGGAAACGTTATGTCGTGGTCGACCCTCTTTTCAAACATCCCAAGAAACAGATTGACAGATCTCGCTGTGAAACCGCCTTACACCCGTCCACCTGTCGACCGACCCGAACCGTGAAGTCGGAAGTCGGAAGATTCCTCCCCCACCAATACCAACCCGAGCTCTCGCGCGGCTACAAGCCACCAATACCACCCAGCAACTTCCTGAACGGGAAGTGTTCACACCAGCTTTTGCTTGAGCGTCAGGCATTCTACAACCCGAACCCGGAATCAGAGCTCTTTTAGGGAGGGGATTGGCAACTGGGATGTTGGCAACCTTGGTGCGTTGTCAGACACGTGAGGGCCTCGACATGTTGCGTCCTGTTTCGATACTCTGACATGGAAGAAGGCACAGACTGGTTGCTGACCGAGTAGGAAAGGACACCCAGTCAAAGAAAACACAAAGGTCCGCAAGTACTCGCCGCATGCAGAGAAAGAGGAAAGAAGAACAAGGCGACGGTAGAAAATCAAAAGAAGGAGATAAACGTTTTAACCACGAGGCAAAAGATGGATCAGGATTCTGAAAGACCTCAGCTTCTTGCCTATACTAACTCATGCACATATCAGATCAGTTCCTTGACTTGTGGTTACGAGAGGCACAAAAGGGCTGGTGAGAACTGGAGAATAAATCCAGCATTGCTCTCGTTGCTCCGTGGGAACTGAACAGCTACCCTGTGAGAAGACACGGCAAAGCTTTATACAGGAACTGAGGAAAGCTGTTCAACGCCTAACGCGAGGTTGCGCAACAATGACACCAAACCTTATCAGACATCTTATTAAGGATGAGCGTCCCTTGTGACACGCACGCAAGCGAACTCTAAGTAGGCATCAGTTTCTGACGAAGGTTTAGGACGATGAATCAAGTCTCACCTTCAGCATCATCAACCTTGTATCCTTCACAGATGCAGAATGTTACGAACAACAAAGCCCTCGAACCCCCGATAACCAAAGTAATCATCAAACAAAAACACCAAGAGTCCACCGCCCAAACATCACCACTCCAACCCAGGTCCACCGCACCCACCACCCCCACCACCCCCACTACCAACGCTCTCAACCAATTTCTTCCCAACCCCCTTTCCTGCCTCACTGGCACCAGGCTTCCTTCCCCTCCTGCCCTTCTTCCCCTCCGCTCCTTTCCTCTTAGTCAACTCATCCAACTCCCCAAACTGCCCCTCACCCGCTTCGCCCTTTTTGACCATCCACTTCTTCGTCCCCAACTCCCTGTCCAGTTCTTTGACAGGCGGCAACTTGATGTACACCATGCCGTCTTTTCGTTCTTCAACGTCAAAAGTGGCAATGGACAACTCGCTATCATTCTTACAGGACCCGGAAGTGAGAGAGAAGTTTCGCTTGTGGAAGGGGCAGGAAATGTAAGGTGAGGGGTATTGTTGCTTGGAGGAGCATGGTGTGGGTTGTGTTGCAGAGGTGGGAGAATGGGGCGGGGATGTAGACGGCGATGAAGACGGAGGAGTACTAGGTGGTGACGGCGGAAGTGCGAGTGCGGCATCCGAGCAAGAAGATGCCGACGGCTCGGTACCGACCAAACCGTCAGACAAAGCGAAAGTGCGCTTATGAGGACACATCTGCTGCGAAGCGTAATATTTCCCCTTTATCCGCCAGACAGCAAGCTGGGTATCACCGCGCTTGATGCTGGCGCTGATACCGTTGGGCAAGTCGTCTGCTCCCTTGAAGTACGACACTTCGAGAACGGGTTGCCAAGTAGCTGACGTCCACTTATCTCTCAATTCCTTGAAGTCCGTCTTGGCTGAACCGCCTTCGTCTTCCCGGGGCCACATCACCGGTCTTTCCTGTCCACGGTCAATCTCTACTTCCATAGGCGGTTGTCCCTCGTCAGTATTGGCGAACTGCTTGAACCGCTCTTGCATAGCCGGGTTGTTGATGGCTTCGGCCCACTCGTCGAAGTAACTGTCTACCAACTCTTGCATTTGGGCTTCGAGGGAGGCGCAGATACCGAGCCGGTCGTCAAGGATGACTTCGCGGAGGTAATCGATGCCGTCTGGCAGGGCTTCGAGCCAGCGAGCAGTGCGTTGGAGTTTGTCGGCGGTGCGAATGTAGAACATGAGGAAACGGTCAATGATGGGGATGACGTTTGTGGGAGGCACGTCTTTGGCGAGGAGGATGGAATGTTTGGGTGTCGTGCCACCATTGCCGCATATTAGGATATTGAACTGTTTTCCCACATCAATGTCATTGGCCGGCACAACGAGAACCGAAAAGGGGCAAAAACGAGGGGAAAACGTACTCCTTTGTCGGTGGCGATTAGACCAAAGCTACCCATCATTAATGTCAGTAATCGGTACAACGAGAACCGGAAAGGAGCGAAAAGAAGGGGAAAACTTACTCCTTATTCCCCGCCTCCGCACACTCCCTTACACACCCAGACACTCCCCCCTTAATCTTATGCGGCGCCCTCAACCCCTTATACCTCTCCTCCAACCTCACCGCCATGCCCACACTATCACCCACTCCAAATCGACACCACGTCGTGCCCACACAGCTCTTCACCGTCCTCAAACTCTTTGCATACGCGTGCCCGCTCTCCATGCCCGCATCCACCAACTTCTTCCAGATCTTCAATAAATCCTGTTTTCGTGCACCAAACATATCAATCCTTTGCCCGCCCGTGATCTTCGTGTAAAGATTATACTCCCTCGCTACCTCTCCAATAACAATCAACTTCTCCGGCGTGATCTCCCCGGCCGCTACCCTCGGCACGACAGAAAAGGTTCCGTTGCGCTGGATATTACCCATAAACCGATCATTAGTATCCTGCAGCCCGTGATGAGCAGGACTCATAACGTGGTCATTCCACAGCGAAGCAAAGATTGAAGCGATGGCTGGTTTGCAGACTTCACAGCCTAGACTTTCAGCGTCGGAGCCAGCGCCAGCTTCACGCATAACATCCGGTAAAGTCCGCAACTGCTTGACGGAGATGATGTTATACAAATCCGCTCTTGAGTACTGCGGGAAGTGCGGACAAAGGTTATTCTTGACCTCGGTTCCCAGCGATGTCATGGTGCGGTTGAAGATTGAGGTAACCAGTGGCATGCATCCGCCGCAGCCTGTACCGGCTTTGGTGCAAGACTTGAGGTCTCCCAAGGAGGTGCATTCTCCGGATTTCAGGGGGTTGACGAGATCAGCTTTGGTGACGTTGTGGCAGGAGCAGATTTGGGTATCGTCTGGTAAGTCGTTGTCTCCGTCATCGCCGGATTTCTTTGCTCCCAAGATGAGCTGTGAAGGGAGAATATCCAGCTCTTTCTGTGTTTTGACCAGCGGGACAAGACGCACGTAGTCCGACGTGTCACCTATCATCATACCACCCAAAAGGTACTTCCCGTCGGACGTAAAGATGTACTTTTTGTAAATCGACTGAAAAGGGTCTTTGTACGTCAAGGATTTAACCTCCGCTTCTTTGCCCGTTTTCTTCAACTCCCTCTTCACCTTCGGCGGGAGATGCTTCGGTCCATCGCGGTCAGCAAAGAAATCCCCAAAACTGGCAACTTCTACACCCAGCAACTTGAGCTTGGTGCTGAGGTCTGGTCGCTTGAATACCCTTGGAGTGTGCAAATGCGCTTGAGTGAGGTTAAAAGCCAGCACATCCGCCATCTCGATGCCAGGGCCGATTAACCCGAACGTCTGCCGCTGCCAACTGGCGCACTCGCCTATGGCGTAAACGCCTGAAGCGCTGGTCTGGAGGGAGTCATCAACCATAATCCCTCCCCCTCCTTTTTCCGCACACTCGATGCCTGCTTGCCGTGCTAGTTCGTCGCGGGGCTTTATGCCGATGGCGAAACAGATTGTTGAACAGGGGAGGTAGTCGCCGTCTTCGAAGGTGATGCTTTTCACCACTTTTGCGCCGACCTCCCCTGCTTGGTCGTCGGTTGTATCGACTTCTTTTACTCGGCGTTTGGTCAGAACTTCGACGCCCAACGCTCTGACACCCTCTAAGACCAGGCTTCCGGCTTCTGCGTCAATTTGCCGACTCAAGACCCAGCCGTTGCGTTCGATGACTACCACATGGCCGAAAACTTCCAGGTCCATCAAGGCTTTGGCTGCTTCCAGACCTAGTAGGCCACCGCCCACGACTACACCGGTTGACCCCTTGATTTTTGGGCTGGCTGACCATGTTATGAGATTTTGCAAGTCAGAAATGGTGCGGTAGACGAAAACGCCTTGCGCATCATGGCCTGGTGTGGAGGTAGGCAGGAGAGCGCGGGAGCCGGTGGCGAGGATGAGGTGGTCGTAGGAGAGGGTAGCGAGGGAGGGCGTGGATGGTGGTGGGGAAATTGTGAGGGTTTTGCTTTGGGGAGAAAGGGCGAGGGCGGTGGTGGAGAGGTGGTGGGTTAGGGATGAAGAGGCGAGGTGGGTTTGTACTGATGAGGAGGAGAGCGTGGTTAGTTTTGGTTTGGAGTTAAGAAGTTAAAGAGCAGGGAAGGAAGGAAAAGGAAGGGAGAATGAACGGCTGAGGAAATGGAGAGGGAAGAGGGGAAGGAAAAAGGGGGGAAACAAAAGCGTACCCATTCTAGTGGATTGAGATACAACTGCTCAACCTTGCGATGACTGAAAAACGAAGTCAAACCCACGCGGTTATAGGCTACGTGCGGTTCTTCGCCGATAACGATGATTTCGTACTGTCGTTGGGTATCGAGTTTGATGAGTTTCTCGCTGGTATATCGTGTTAGCTTCGAAATTCCCGTCTTCCATTCCGAGTCTGACTTCGGAGGTGGAAACCGAGAGAAAACTTACATGAAAGCAATACCAACCATACCCAACCCAACGACTACTATCCTCTTTCGAGGTGTCAAACCTGGGCTTGAACTGGGGCTTGTAGCCATATCTGGTGTTGTGTTCGCCATTGGTGGCTGAGAATGAAAGTGCTGGATGACGGATTAAACGGTATTGCAACCAAGTCAAAGCATCCAGATTAAAATTGTATGGGTATCACGTCCTGTCAAGAGGAGGTGTCGTCGGGAAGTGAATAGCTGGAAAGACCCCATAATGAAAGACAACTAGAACACTCCTCGTTCTAACTTTGGCGATCATCTGGTTTTATTCACCAAACCTACCCGATTACCTGTGCATGGCACGGTTACCCCGTCAATGACCTCCAGCAATCCGATACATGACACAAAAGGAATCAGAAATCAGTACGGTAGAAGCAAAAATGAACATCTCCGCGACTCAATTTCTCTGACGCCAGCTGATAAGACAGTAAAGCGATGCGATGCACACGAACTGCATAGCATAGTAACAGCAATGATTGACAATCCAAACTCTCCTTCGGAAGTACCACGACAGAAACCTGTGCAAGAGATCAGAGAATGACATCTCCACGGGCAGCGCCCCTCTCGTTGTTGAAACCAAAGATGGAGGCGAAAGGTTGATCTTGATAAGGAGATTGTTACAAACAGTAGTGATAGCTTATCAAACCAATCAGAAGGCACCAATTGCTGTAAGTCATCAATTGAGGCTCCCGCGGAGATATACGCTCGGCAACGGGAGCACTACGGAGAGATAAGCATGCGCGGGACGACTCGCCCTGTCGCCGCGCCGGGGGGGGGGAAGGGAGGAACGTGGGGTGATGGGGTGGCACGACTACCTACGGTAACTCTGTTTCGATCTTTCGTCTTTGCCCGCGGACTTGTTTGTCTCATTGCTGGCGATTGAAGGTTCATTTGATCTCATTTCCATGTCTCCGGTAGGTAAGTTGTTACCGATGCGGGTTCTCGGGTTTTTCTTCAATGCTTTTCGGTCTGGACTTTCCGAATATTCTCCATTCAATCCATTATCCTACCTGGCTTCTACACCGTAAGTTCATCCCATCATTACCCTCTCATCATGATCCCATTACCTGCCATGTCCATCTGACCCCCAAGCCGCTACCTCCATCCCATTCCTTTCCACTCTTTCTATCTCTTCCTCACGTGAGCTTAAACTCCCGACTCCCCCCCTCAAACCCCGTCACCTTCCCCGTCCCCGCCTTCTTCGCATCCCCATAATACTTAATCCTATACGTTCCCACAGGATCATCTCCCTCCCCATTGCTTTCCGTCCTAGTCTCCCACTGAATCGTAACCTCACTGTACCCAAGCAACCCATTCGTCCGCTTCCATTCGTACGTCAAGTTCCAATCCTCATCGCTCCTAACCTGCGTCCACGTCTTTCCGTCACTTCCCAGCTTCTCTACCGCCGCGTAAGTACCTTCCAACCGCAAGTTATTGCGGGGATTAGCACCCTGGAAGACGGCAGTCACGACACTGCCGCGCGTGTAAGAGGTGGAAGGTTGGGTGATGCATGTCCCGAAGGGCTTGGAGGGGGGCGCGCCGTCGTAGACTACGCCTGTGATGAAAGAGAGGGAGTTATCTCTGTTGTCGGGCGGGCTAGGGCCAGGAGGAGGAGAGCTGGTGGATGAGGGCGAGAGGTAGGGAAGGGCGGAGAGGGTGAGGTTGATGTATGCCGGCAGCTCGTATTGACCGAAAAGCGTGCTGGCGCCTTCGTAGCGCTGGATGGCGTACTCCTCCGGGGTGGTGACGTAGTGGGAGTAGGTGTTGGCGGGACCGCCGAGGACGACGACGGGCTCGGTGCTGCCTGTTAGCTTTTGGGACTTGGCGGCTTCTTTGACGGCGTTACGCCAGCGACGACCGGACATTGTGGTGGCTTCCGAAGGGGAGATGATCATGAAGAGCTGACCGACGCGGAGGGATTGGACGTCGACGATGTTGGGCGTCCAAGGGTAGGGCAGATCCATCTCGCCGACATCGAGGAGAATGGGCTTGGGCTTTTGGCAAGCTTTTTGAGAGGCAGATGGAACTCGTAGAAGACCGCCCACAACGGACCAGAACGGATTGTTGGGAGCACCAGAGTCACCCTGGGTAAAGTCAAAGGCACCAGGACCATCAGTGGTGCCAGCAGCGAAAGAGTGACCAAGCGCAGCAGGGCAGGTCTGGACCTCAGTGCCGTTGTCGAGGTTGAACTTGTAGTACCGCATATCGTGGAAGTAGTGGAACGACCTGACGGTTGATCCAACAACCGGTGTCGAGGAAGAATCAAGCGAGGTCTAGGTATTGTCAGTAGTTGGTTCCCAGTATCTCGACACGTACAAAACTTACCCAAACATTCTTAGCACCAGCATACTGCTTCCTCCCAATCTCATAACAGCTGCTCACACCCTTATCCAGCTTCGTGAAAAGCGGTCCCCTTCCACGACAAGACTGCACCTTGCCGTCGGCACAAGTGCTGCTTTCAAAATCACAGGCAGCACCAGAACCGTCATCGCAAAATGCACCCAGCGTATTTGGTGTGGTATCACCCACGTTTGCCTGGGAAAAGCCAGCAACAAAGCCGTCAGCAGCACGGCTGTCATTTTCGACTGACTGCTCAAAGAGATAAGCGGCGACACCTTTGTTGTCACCGTTTACAAGCGTGTTGTTCTGGTAGACTGATGTACCGTGAACGGGATACCAGGTAAGCACACCGACGCTCTTCAAGTCCGATGCTCTCCGGAAGCGGAGTAGAGTTAAAGTCTTGTCGGTGTTAAAGGGGTATTTTGCTCGCTCGGACTCAGGGTTGGCGAGGTAGGCAGAAGGACTGCGGTTATTGTTACCGTCGTTGATGTCGGTTGTTCCGATGTCGAGATAGCCCTATGTCCGTTAGTCCCGTCCCAACAAGTATCATTGCATCAGGTTGGTCATACCTCCTGAAGCGACTCATGCGCCCTCTTAATCGACAACACAGCACCGTCCACAATCGCCTGATAACTTTGCTTGCTGAACCCCAATGTAGTAATTTGCGGCAGCAAGTAATTTAACCATGCACCCGGTCCGGAATGGGAGTGCGTTCCCGTAAGCGCAATGTTGCTCTGGCCATAAACAGCGTACTCATCCCCCATGCCCTTCAGCGCATCAAGAACCCCATTGCGAACAGCTGTGTCTCCGCTGAGCGTATCAAGCACGATATACACCACGCGGTTTTTGGGGTTCTTGGTCTCGCCAATGATAAAAGCGCGCGAGTACAATCGCTGGCGCAAACCGCTTCCGACTTGGCTGGTGTCCGCATACCCGCCAAAGCCGATCTCGACAACCGGGCCGGTGACGTCGGCCTTTCCGACACCGATCAGGTACTTGTCGCCGAGAGGAGTGTCAGCCCGCGGTTCGGCTTGGGGGTTTGCGCGCTGGGCATGTTCGATGCGCTGGGCTAGCTTCCGGGCGTGTAGCTCGGAGGAGGGGCCGAAGTGGGCGATGGCGAGAGCGGCGAGGATGAAGAAGGAGACGACGGAGACGGCGATGGTTATAAGGCGTCTGGGACTGGGAGGCGCCATGCCGCCGCGGCGGTGTTGTTGGTAGTAAGGCATCTTGCGATGCTGTCTCTACCTGTGCCTGGGATGTGTTAGTGGATGTCTTGAGTTAAAGAAGGGAGATGTCTCGGGAGATCATATCCTTCATACCTTTTGGGGAAAGACTTGGACAACGGCAATCAAGAACAGCCATTCATTCCCTTTCGATGGAAGAAGCCTGGTATCTATACCCATCTTGTCCGCCCTGGATAGACAAACAACCATCTCGTCTCCCCGCACGACACCGTGACAGATCAAAGCGGAAGTGGGTAGGGGGGCCACTTGACAGCAACAATACTACTATTGCCAGGATCAAGGACAAGACGTAACGTCCAACCCAATCGGAGGATCTCCCACCTTTTTTCTGTTCATGATGGTGGGTCGGGTGTGTTTTCCCATTTCCATTTGCGACCAAGCGTTCTTGTTCTGGCCCATCTTGTCTGTTTTCGTTGTGTCCAGCTGAAGCAACCTTGTCAAACTCCCGCAGGGTACCATTCCAGGTTTGTTGATCAGGCATTTTGCCAAGTTTGCGTTGCGTTCGTCCACCCGCAACATCTTTCTTTTGCGCTTTTCTGGAGGGCTGCTGCAACGCAACGCTACAAGCGTACGTACATACATACAACTTCAATATTTACTGCGTAGGGGAACGGTAGGTCGCCATCCTTGTTCCTGGGCATCGTCCCTGGGCAGTGGGCAAAAGCAATTCCGAAAGCTGAATGTAGAGTTGGTTCATTGCTCTGGAACCAATCACCGTCTCATATCTCGACGGACAAACATGGTTGGCAGAACTTCCTCCTCTGGCCGCTGGCGGGAGATTTGAGGAGATTCGATTTTGTGCTGTCACGTCGAAAGCAACTCGGGTATCACGAGGGGCGTGTTCAAGGGCACCATTATCGAGTAGGTACAGCATTCGCGGGTGGTATTTCGGATCACGACCTGAATTGAGGAGTAGGTGTGGGTGACAACTACGTCTAGCCGTTCAGATTCCGTTCGGTTGCGAGGCACGCGCTGTGGAGGAGGGCGAGGACGGCGATGAGCTGAGAAGACGACACATAAATATTGGCCAACTTCCCAACCGAGGGGCCAGCAATCATTCAGCTGATCAAAACTCAAAACGAGAGCGTAAAAAGAGGGGGACTTCGCGTAGGTTGAAAGAAGGTTGCAGACGGGAGAACCAGAAAAAGATCAACCGCCCAGGCACACAAACTAACTGACCTAATCCGATACAGTTTAGCGTGTGAGGATGCACCTGTATGACGTAGCGGTACGGGCAGTCACAGGGCACTCACTTCCCGCTATTGGCGCAGCTGTTTTAGCAGATCAAGCACCTGAACGGGCATCAACTGCGCGACACCTCCCTCAATTCCAACCTCAACTTTATCTTGAATCTTGTGCAACACAAAACGAGACATCTCGGGGATTATCGATGAGCGGAGAGAATCTTTCTGGCTGTTGGTTCCAACATCCAGTAAGTTTCTATTGAGATGGTATAGACCTTCGCTCGCATTCGCTTTTCCCTGACCATCCCCTAGCGAGAGTTCGCCATGGCAGGTCGACCCTGCCCTTATTTGTTAGCACGACATTGGGTGTTCTCCTTTCCACTTTTTGTTGGCATGAAATACAGAGAAAACGGTCTGTCAAGACACTGCAGTGTTAGAAGACAACTCATGATTTGATTCTATGAGTGAGCATTCTACCGATATATCACCGTTGGTTCGATAAGATCAATATGATCCATCAACTCAAGCAGCACCTGTCTGATATTCTCCCCGACCGAGCAAGAAGGCATCCGACAGGTCCTAGGTAGCTCTTGTTCAAATATGGAGCAGCTATAAATCGGAAGCTTTTCCCCGTATAATTCACTTCACCAGCTTGACACAGCTTCGGAATTGACCAGAATAGTAGCTTAGCCACCTCGAGGTGTGTTCGGAAAAGCTGTAAAGAAATGTGTAAAAAGCTGACTAGAATGTCTGAATATTTCGTCGTCATGACTTCAGTAGTGTCAGACTCCGACGCGAAATATTCCTCAGACCTCTGAGCGCATAGCTCTCTCTCAGAGATATCCACCATGAGAAGATAGTGTCGAACCAAGGAAAAAAAGAAAGCAAAAGGGTATCTGAACGTTCCCCTGGGACAAAATTCCAACCCAAACCAAATTTTGATCCGCGACCTTATTCCAAAGATCACATGGTTCCTCCGGCATTCACCGTCAGATCACTCGGCGTCCTCCATCTCATTATCACCGTCATCGTCTTCGTTCTTCTTGCCCTTCGCCGCATTTCCCTCCTTATCCCGGTCCTCCGGCTCAGGCTCGACATACTTCCTGGGCAGCAAAAGACCATGAGGGCGTGCCGGATTCACCAAGTATTTCGGAACTCTCCACTCGGCCACCCATTGCGTTGCGGCCTGTCCTACTTCCTGCCGGACTGCGGTGGCGCCGTCTGACAGCTTTTGCTTCTTTTCATTGACGCTCTCAATTTTGGTCAGCAAAAGGCCGATTTGGTCTTGGACCTTTGTCACAGCGAACTGAGCAATTGCCGAGAATTCCACGGAAACTTTGGCTAGATGGGTTTCGTATCGTCTTTTCATGTTTCTGAACCCATCGCTGAACATTCCCATGTTCTTTGCCTTGACATTGTCCTGCAAATATCTGCGGCGACGTTGGTAATGTCCCTTGCCTGTAATCGTATTCTTGTCAGCTGAGCTTTCTACCAGGAACATCGAAGGAGCTAGATTTCTGCATACCTTTGATCTCCAGGCATTCCTCGAACATAGGCACAAGCTTCTCTTCCATTGTAACTCGAAATTCCGGGTGGATCTCAGCAGAACACTTCGAAAGCTTTGTGAGTGCCTCATGAACTTTGTCGGCTATCTCATCCTGGACGCCGCTCATGACCGGAATGCTTTCCACGACATGGGGAAGAAGTTGAGGTGCCGTATCTCGGATCAGACCCACGAGCTCGTCCATGTACTTGTCCCAGATTGCTTTAATCCGTGGCACGATAGGTTTCTCAGCCGGTGGGATCTTAACCTGGAACATTTTGTGCAAAGTCTTCAAGAATACTTTCTCCAGGATGGGTACAACTCTGCGGTAAAAGAACTGTGTTAGCACGGGGCATGCTTTAACGGAGGATTTCATACACTTACAAAGCCTCGGGGAAGTTGTATTCATGCCGCTCCCCCGACTTGCATTTGTAAGGACCTCCACCTCGTTTCAGAATTGCGTTGAAGGTTGTCCAGGCCATAAAGACCGAAGAAGTCATGTCATTCGGGTTTCTGGCTGCCCACCTAGTGGCAACCCTTCCCGCTTCTCTCTTGCATATCGCCTGCGTTTGGTTAATCTGTGAAAAGGGATCAAATGACTTGATCTTCTCTGACCACAAGTGGAGTTCCGCCTCAAGCCTCTGTCATATCCACCGGTCAGTTTTCTCAAAAAAACATTTGAAGATGGTATAACAGAAGCATACCTGTGAGCAGCTATCATGACTGCGTGAGAGAACGGTCTCGATCAGTTCGCGAGATAATTTAACGTCCATACCCGCTGTGTTCACGTTTGACCATCTTCGAATGCCATGCGCGAGGAGGAGACTGTCCAAATAAAACTCCCTGTTCTCCATCACCGAGTCGCATAGCCATTGACTAAGCTGGGGTATTCTAGTGTAGGATTTGGTGGGGAGCCCCAACGGCCTTCGACTCTTGAGGATGTCACGGTAGGCAGTAGCGGAAACAGAGAATATGTTAGTGGGTGGTTCGCTTGGACTAGCCCGTTGGCCAGTTCCCTCCATCTCCCTCCGCTGTCTCTCAAGATTCTCTGTGAGCCGTTTCTCGATTTGACCATGTCTCATAGACATGCATGTCCACTTTGATCTGCCCTCGCATGTGCGCAAAGACAGATGAGCGCTGTACCTCTCCTGTTGGTGGCCATTCAATAACGCTTCTTCGGTACGGACAAGTCTCGTCGTGTTTACCACCTTGTTCCTTGCTGTCTTCATTTTTTCCGATATCGTTTGTCTGTCTTTTGAGTTAGTGTCATCGAACTGATGGGGAAATACATGTGTTTGTTTCCTACCCTGTTGTATCTTCTTTACGCCTGCCCTAGTTGGCTTCAGCGCGTTTTCATCAATGATTGCTTTTTCCTTCCTGTTCCTGTAGTCAACAAGCTTCTTCCGGCTCTCTTTGATACGCTGATCAAGAACCAAGATTCTTCGTGACGAAGATTTGATACTCTCCAGATCTTCCTTCAAGCCTGCCTTGTTTCTCGCTTCTGGAGAGCTTTTGCTGAACACATCACAGTCGATAATGTCCATATGCGAAGCCACAACGCAAGATCTGTGTTCTGAAGCTTGCCGTCGAGCTTCATTCTGAGAGCCTGATATTTGCTCATCAGTTGGAAGCCGGTTTTCTCATCAATTGCTCGGACAGATGGTGTCACGATTATGGTTGTGTCGATCTGCTGGTTGTAACGCTCGGCAACCTGGGCACGGCTCTCGACGGCATCAGACAGTCCTGGAAGATCAACCAAGGCTATTCCGTGTCTGAGGATATCTGCCTTGACAAAGATCCTGGCTTCCTTAACCAAAGGCTAAGCCTGCTAACCCTCGGTCGTCATTGATGAATCAAGGTACGGCTTGATCATTTCGGCAAACCGTTCCTTGTCTGCAGCATAAAAGCGCTTGGTGGTACCTAGAACGGAAAGAACATCCTCATTGGATGCGAGAAGATCTTCAGCTGAGAGCTTTTCCACCTCTTCTCTTTCCTTGCCCCAAACAGCCAAAATCTTCTGCAGTCCATCTTTGATAGTGGGTGTGTTTTCCGCCTGTTGCTTGAACCACTCCTCTTCATCGTCTGCGCTAACTTCCTCCATCTTACGACACTCATCAAGTGTCTCATAAATCAATTCCAGCTCTCGCTGGACGTCCTCTTGCGTGCGAAATGCAACTGCGGCAGGGTATCTGTGCTCAGGGTCATCGTCGTGGTTTCAAGAGATTCGACAAGCCGATGATGTCGAGGCTTCCGAGTTGCTGGAAGGTAAGAGCTCAGGTATACCCAGGAGCATGTTCAGAACCGTGCTCTTGCCAGCGCCTGTGATACCTGCAACGCCCGCCAGCACTTCAAACTCTTCATGAGCTTTTTCGAGTTGGACTGTTGGTATCTGTCAGTTTCTGCGGCTTCCAAGCGATGTGATTTGACTTATGTGTTTCGTCCATCCAAGCAACTATATTTTCATCAAATAGCTCCTTGAATGCCTCTGACCCTTCATCATCCCAAACTGTTGAGATGGCCTGGCGAATAAACTTTGCATGGCGATAGGCATCGTCGACAGCTTGTTGCTTGATAGATACGCGAGACCGAAATAGCTCCTTGGAGCAGCTGTCCCAGGCAAATGGGAGGGGTTTCCCATGACTGACGACGTTACTGGAAGCCTCGTCTGCTGTCGAGGGCTCCTCTTCCTTGATGGGAACATCCATCGTGGAAATTAGGCCAATGAATGCGGAAGCAAAAAACTGCAGGGGAAACCAAATGTGATGATTGACTGTGGCATCGAACCTGAAGGGGGGATTTAACTGCAGAACCTGAAAGATGAAGGGAGAAGATCTGAGAAAAGGCTGACTGGTTGCTGTGAGAGGATGAGGAAGGAAAGAGAAGATTGAAAATGGTAGTGCTAGAGATCTTTTTATACCCCGTAAATTCCGGGGAGCACACAATCAGGATGATGATCAGCATGAAGGCTTAATCGGCTGCATGAGAACGGATGAAAGAAAGGTGACTGATTAGAGCTACGGAGATGTTCTGTACGGTGATAGAGGATGGAAGGAGAAAAAGACACGGACATCGGACCAAATTAGCCTCGCAGCGGTATATCAGATGACTACTTCAGTAGTTAGTGACCAACTGCGTGAGCTGTGCAAGTGCTTGCTAAGAATAGTGTGGGACTTACCTATTGAGCCAAAGCAAAGCCTTGCAAGTCTTCGCCAGGAGACTCTTCTTCGGCTAGATGGGGAAATGAGATGAATGAGCAGCCATAATTTGGTTTGCTTCCTCTCCAGCCCGTCGGAGAGCCACTCATGGAGACATCAAACATAATTTTGGCTGATACTGGTTAAGAGATCAATAAAACAAACCTAGCAGTGCACAACCGTTCCCGTAGGTTATTCGTAGCAGACAACACTCTTGATACTCTCGATCTCGTTCCAATCAGTGACTCTGATACGCAACACTTCGAGCTCCCAACCGACCTCAGACTTTTTGGCCTTTCTCGGTCGACACATAAAGCGGCACATCTTGTTGTTTGTATCGTCGAGGAACCTGGAGGTCTCCTTTTCCACCAGACTGTCGTTTTTCCACCTAGTCAGAACGCCTGATAGGTGTGGAGGCTGGTCCTCAAAAAGATCAATGGCCTGAAAATGTTGAACCCGCGAACCCTTTTCCCTCGACGAATAGGACACTCTGGCAAAAAGCTCAAAGGTCACCTCTTGTTCAGTTCGAAGACACGCAGCCACTTCTTTGAATACCGAACCCAGGCGGAAGCATGTTCTCAGGACGGTTGAGTTTGATAAGCCCTCTACAGGGGACTTGTTCCGCAACGGGCTGGGGAATGCCGGCCTAGTGAATGGCTGGTACCTCATCTGGCTGATTGAGCGAGACTGCATCCACTCCATTGCATGATCAAGCGGCTGGCTATTGTTATTGAAGAACCCAGGAGAATGAGAAGAGTAGGAATTCTTTGGAGCAGCGGGCAGTTGTTGAAGAACCTCATCCCAGTCAATGTCCTCGTCAAGCAAGTTCTCGGCGTCGGCAGGTTGATTGTTCCCCTCGGAAATGGAACAGATCTTAGGACTGCTCCGTGGCGTTGATCTCCGTAGACTTGGGTCAAATATCTCAGGCGTAGAGTTTCCCTCGATGGCTTTAATGATACTGGACGGCGGAATCTGTGCCTGAGGCTCCGGCAGGGAGTCAACCAGCTTCACCATAGCTTCTTCGTGTGACGATGCGACCGAGTACTCGTCAGCAGTCGCAGATTTGCTGTCATCGGATGGAGCCTCATACACATTGGGCTGAGCCGCGTCACACATAGGGTCATTGTGGAATGTGAACACGTCCTGGTTGCCCCCGTAAGCCAGCGGATCACCACCTGTTAGTGAGTCAAAGATCATGGCTCTGCTAAAGAACGAAGCATCCGTTTCTTCACAATCTTCTCTACCGGCACATGGGTTGTTGGCACACAGCTCTAACAGCTCGGATTTGGAGTATGGGGGAGACCAGGAGCCTTCCGGGTCGAAGGGCATGGTGTCCGCATACATATGCCCTTGGGTATCGCCTTCTTCCCATGATGAATACCCAACCGTAACATTGTCGCCATAACCATGATACTCCGAGAAGGTTTCGAGGGATTGAACTGCAGGTCCTCGTCTCTTGCTCTCTTGGTGGCTCCCATTGGTGTTTCGGCGTTTCAGAGTAGAGGAAGTAGCCGGATGATGAAGCTCCGATGGAACTGCGCTTGGCCCGTCTAGAACCATGTCGTTGGAGTTGACCGGTGCGGCATCATTAGCCGGAAGGGTTGTGGTGGTTAAACAAGAGGGCACATCATGACTAGAATAGAAAAGTTAGCATTGCCATTCAAGACATGATGTCAATAAATATTGGACTTACGGAGCATCGATAGTTACCGTACTCGAAGGGTCCATCATATCCATGACTTCACTCGGGCTCTGTGCCTGTGTCTGTCAGGTTCTGAGATGGGGCAGAGTGTCCGGTTGCACACAAACCAAGACCAATAATATTGTTAAAGGTATGGGAGCATCACGGTGCTGCCGAGATCGAAGCCATTGGGGTACGGTTGGCCTTTTGAGATTGGGCCCGGGAGGGAAGCCGTTGATGAAAGAACGAGGAGGACGGACATGATGGGAAGAGAGGCAGGACAAATTTCGAAGAGGAATTGCGGAGACAAATGTTCGAAAATTTTGTGACCTTGAGTATTGGAAGATGCAAGTCGCCAGGTTGTTAATGCAGATGACGATGGCCATGTATAAGTCATAGTTTCCTATTCTGGACGTCCCCCGGCGGGCAGCTGGCCGGCAGCCGGAGCGAGGGGGAAAGTGCCAAGAAATCCGGCCCCGCATTATAGCGAACCGGAGCCCCATAATTCGGGACCGGGCCGAGATTTGTAGGGAGCTTGTGCCCTGAAAGCTCAACGCCAAGGACCGGCGACCGGGGCATTGTCAAGGAAGCATCGAATTGGATGCAGTTGCGCCGTTTGAAACTTCCAAGTTCTTACACTTCTCGCATCTTTATCCCATTGTTGAAGGCATCACGAAGACAAATCCACTGTTGGTGACAGTGTTTGAAGGGTTGTCGAAAGAAACGCTGGGCGCGACAGAATCCGGTTTCACGGCGTCACATGAATTCAAGCTCCCCGTACCCCGCCATTGTTCGCTCCTGCATCAGCCGCCCCTCGCATCACAGCATCACATCACTGCACTGCTGAGCAGGCACGACTGCTGCCGTTATCTTATCGCGCTTGCCTCGACAGACTGCGCCTTCTCTTAGGCTTTCTCTAACGACGAGAACTTTACACGCCCTCCATTGATTGTCTTTCCTTGGTCAAGCCATCGTTTCCTCTAGCGGCTGCGACTGCGCCCCTCTGACTATAACCAGCTCCAAGTCGACGCGGCTTTGTTGACTTTCCCGTCGCTTTTCACTCTTCTTCTACCACAACCGCTCGCGGCATCGAGTGGTACGACTGCGCAGCTTTCTCAACTTCTATTTTCCCGTACTTTATTCTTTACGACCAAACAACTCAGACAGTCAGCTTCGCGCTACTTGACGCTATCATGTTCTCTTCCTCGGTAAACGCCCCAAGGTGCTCTAAATAGCTTCGTCCCGCACATTCGCTAACAGGCCAGAACAGAAACCCTACACGGCCGTCACGGTCGACATCGAACGATTGACGAGTGAAACCTTTGCCGAAGACGATCTCAGCGGTATCCCCGAGCTTATCGAAGCCATCAACCTCCAGGCTTCTGGTCCGACTGAGGCTGCCCGTGCCATTCGCAAGAAACTCAAATATGGAAACCTGCATCGCCAGCTCCGAGCCCTGACCATCCTCGATGCTCTGATCCAAAATGCGGGTGCTCGATTCCAGCGTTCCTTTGCGGACGAGCCCCTCCTTGAGCGCTTGCGCTTCTGTGGTACCGCCGAGCTTTCGGACCCCTTGGTGAAGAAGAAGTGCACCGAAATGTTTCGCAGCTGGACTGCCTACAAGAGCACTCCCGGTATGGAGCGTGTCGCGAACCTCTACAGGGTAAGCTCCTTGCAGTCTACACCACAAGTCCGCCCGTCATGCTCACACAGCTCCAGGAACTTCCCCGGCGCAAGCAAGTCGTCACCCAAGAGAGGTCCAAGGTACTTAAGGAGACCGAGAACCCTTTTGGCGAAGACGAGGAGGAGGAACGCCCAGCACCCGCAAGCACTTCAGCTACTCAGCCCAGCTCGTCAACTGCACAGCCATCTTCCTTGTCATCGCGTAGGCCGACGGTGTCCAGTTCTAGTGGCCATGCGCACTCCTCCAGTCGATCCTCCAATAAAGACAAGTCGAAGAAGAGCAGCAGCAAATCTAAGAAGCACAAGCCATTCAACCTCGAAGCCGAGAAGGATCAGATGACGAGGAGTATCGCCGAGGCGTCTATTGCCTCCACGAACCTGATGAACACTCTGCAATCCATCAACAGAGAGAAGGAGCGCATTTCAGAGAACTCGACCGCAGTAGACCGATTCGAGAAGTGCAAAAAGCTCAGGAGGAACATCTTGAGATATGTATGTGACATTGTACAATCGACCAGACCTGAGCGGGTTGCTAACAAACACAGATTCAACATGTCGAATCCGAACAATGGTTAGGAGGCCTTCTACACGCCAACGACGAACTCGTTCAAGCGCTCATGACTTTTGAGCAGCTGGACCGCTCTATTGACGCGGACAGTGACTCGGACGATGATCTCGCTGAGCAGGCACACCTTTATCGGAGTATGTTCCTCTCTACTTCTTCTTGCTCGCCCTCATCTGCTAACGTCTTCCAGTGGCAACCGAAAAAGCCGCCAAAGCCAAAGAATCCGGCGGCAGCGTACCCAGCAGTCCTCGCGCCCCTGTTGCTGGCATGGCCGGTCTCAGCGTCACCAACTCCCCCACGAGTCCGCCTCCGATGCCCCCTCGCCCTGCGCCGCCTCCGCGACCGTCTGCAGCTTCGAAGCCGTCGATGTTGAAGCCGCCCACAAGACGGGTGGAGCCGTCTGATGACGAGGATAGTGACGTCGACGAGGACGAAAACGATCCGTTCGCTGACCGGAATGCTGTCTCGACCCCTAAGGTGGAGAGTGACGAGCCTAAGTGGTCGTAGGTGGGATGAACATGGCAAATATGCCAGGGATGAGATGATGACGATCACATGATATGGATACGTTTTTGGGGTTTTCAACTTCTTTACTGGATAGATAATTTGTTCTGTCTAATACCTTGTGGACGACGGCGAAGGAGCACGATATTGGTAAGGGGGTAGGTAGATGGAGCAAGGAAAGCGAAACACTTCACAGCATGATGATGAGTTGTTCTACAAAGTAGCAAATGGATGGGAAAGGATTGACTTGTACCTTTTTGAGCTGCGGATGGCCAGTTGTATTGAGAGGATGACTGGTGTTTTGTTGAAGTTATGACTTAGCGGGCGGGAACCATGGTTTTTATTCATTATGCATAGGTAACCAAACGGCAAGCCAGCAGGCAGGGCATTCAGCGTTGAGGATTTCCAGCATTCTACAATCTACCCGCGCTCCAAAGAAACCAAGCTGCAGGTGACCAAGACTTCATCCACCAAGTTCCAACTCCCTCCCATCATGCGCTCGCACCCGCGACAGCAGTCCCATCCCCATTCCCCTCTCTCACAAAAAACTCTCACCCCAAATTTCCAAACCTCCTCAACAACCAACTGCTTCCTTTTTGTCTTCCCACTTCCACTTCCACCCAGCAAATCCTCCACCTCAACATCCACCTCCCCAAACACCACCAAATCTGCATCCGCTCCCGGCTGCAAACTCCCTTTCACAGATTCCAACCCCAACATCTCCGCCGGCGTACTAGTCACGCTCGCCAGCGCTTTTGGTATTGACATACCCGTCCATAGCAACAGATTATTTACGCATTCGAGAAGCGTGGCGGATGAGCCTGCTATTCCTCCCCATTTCTTTTCTTTCGTTTCCTTCTCTTCCTGCCTTCCCTTCTTCTTCGGCTCACCCATCATCTCCTTCTCCCTCCTTCCGTACTTTGCCTTCAAGCTTGCTGCTTTGGCCTTGCACATTGCTGCACATCCGGGAGAAAGTATGCTGTCTTTCTTCTCCATCTGCGTTATTTCTTTGATGGCTGCTCGTTCGGCTTCGACTTCAGCTCGCGTTTCTCTGTCTAGGTATGCTAGGTGTGAGGAGTCTGTGGATGATGTGGATGATGTTGATGACCTTCGCGATGGCGCAGGGTGTGAAGGGGGTGGCAGCGAGGGTGATGGTGGTTCAGCAATACACAACTGACTTCCCTTCTTCTCAATCCATTCTTTGCGTCCGCCATTGACCCACTCGTACTTCCCATCTGGCATGCCAGATAGGTGCATCGCGTCTGTTACCAGGACGAAACCTTGCGGGTGCAGGTTATAGGCTAGAGAAACGATGGTGGAGTGCACGTGGATGCCGTCGGCTATGACGCCGTAGAATAACTCCTTTTTCTGGTCTTCGGGTAAGCCCAGCAGACCAAACAGACCTGGGTCCCGGTGGTGAAGAGGTTTCATGGCGTTGAAGAGGTGGGTGATCATCTTTGCTCCGGATCTAACTGCTGCGGATGCTTCGGAGAGGGAAGCCTCGGTGTGGCCTAAGGAGACTACCACGCCTTTTTCGACTAGCTCGGGGATGATACTGACGGTAGAACTGAGTTCGGGGGCGAGAGTGATCATTTTGATTTTTCCGCCTCTTCTTAAAGACGAAACATTGGCATGGCCGTAGACTTCTTCCACGTCTTGCCAAGAACTGACGGTGGTGCGCAGCACGGAAAGGTCATGGATCCCGTGCTGAGAAGGCGAGAGAAAGGGTCCCTCGACGTGGGCGCCTAGAGATTCGGAGCCATTTCCGGGTCTGCGAATGACGGCGCGGATGCAGTTGCGGGAGCGTTCGGTTTTCTCGTATATGGAACTGCCCCTGGGGTAATAAGGGTTTTCAGAGATGGTTGTAGGATCGAGAGGACCGAGGTGTGGCAGGACGGAGTGGTACAGCTCGGGCGTTTGGGAGGTTAAGGTGGGCAGGTACGAGGTCACGCCCGTGCAGATGAGTTTGGTGTTGAGGGTGTGGATGTTTTCTTTGTATTCGGCGGAAGAGGTGAAGGAGGAAAAGTTGAAGCCGAAGGCGCCGTTGACTTGGCAGTCGATTAGACCGGGGGAGAGGATGCGGTTTTGGAGATCTATGGTGACGTCCGGGACGAGGGTGAAGGAGGAGGGTTCAAGGATCTTGCCGGTTTGGGAGGAGATGAAGAGGTCGGATGAAACGAGGGAGTCGTTGATGACAAGACGGCAGTTTGTGAGTTTGGTGATGTTGGTGCCGTTGCCTTGAGGTGAGGAGGATGATGACATGGCGAATGAGGTTGCGTGAAGCAGGGTGAATATGTTAAGCTCTTGGCAGTAGGTTTTGTGGAAGTGGTCAAGAATCGCGGGACAAAGCTTGGTGATATGAACGCTTGCTCATGAGGCTCGTTGGGCTGTCGTTCTTTCCTTGGTGATATTTTGACATCGGACGCTAATAAGACGTGGAGTAGGATCTACACAAACGCCGGGCGGCTGCCGTTGGGCTTCAATCCGCGCCATTTCCGGCACTCGGGAACCTGACTGGAGACAGAGGCAGGCGCAACCACTCGCCGGTGTTACGGCCAACGGCGTAACGAGACATCATCAGTGTCCACGACGATACGTGCGAGGTGTGTTGTGTTTCGATTGCCAGTATGGGGAGTGTCGACTATCGCGCCAGGAACTGAACACATGCTCATCGATTGGATCGGTATTTGTCCATGATAGAGGCAATTCTCAAACAAAACTCAGCTGTGGAGGGCTTTCCTATCACATCGCCATTACCTCAGCACCACCTCATTATCACCACAATTTCCAGAGGAGAGATGTTTGCCTGAGATTGGTCGCTGGACCAGGTACTCGGTTCACCGAATCCATCACACCTTCAATTCGACACCGAGATGAGTGGGTGTTGATATGGATCGTTGCGAGTCTTTATCATGAAATTCCCAAATGTAACGTTGCCGGTCAAACGCCAAAAGGAAAGAACGACAGATCTCAAAAGCGACGTTGTTCGAGAGAGAAGATCACGGGAAGAAAACTAAAGTTCAGAAGAGGTTGGTGGAAGACAAATCAAATGCAAAACCAACACCTACCCAATCCGGCCAAGCGCCTTTGATATTATCGTCAGCTGTCCAATCATTATTTTCTTTTCCGATCCTAAGCACAGTGGTTGCTTAGCGGCTACTGTAGCACTACAATCTCACACAGCACCAACCGTGTTAACGTGTTCTCCATTCATGTCGACGACCTGTTGTTACACCGGGCACACACAACCTTTCACCTCCACTCACCACTCACCAGTTTTAACAACACCAATACCCCCATCCGGCGATACCAGGAATGTATCCATAGCCGTTACGTGACATGACATTATCCCAATAGTCTCGATCTGGAACATTGAGACAGCGCCGCTTCTCCGCTTTTGGTTCACTCAGACATCTTCAGCCCTATCGACCGACCTTAGTCGACCTACCTCCTCAGCTCCAATCACCATCATGGATACCGATCTGGACCCACTATGGCAGGACTTAGACTGGTACGTACATTTCATCTAAGTCCTCATCTCTCACTTACCTTCACACGTGGCTGTGATTACCGGTCCCGGTATCCCGTTCCCCGAGTCATCGTCCGTCATGGCTACTCTATTTCACACATGACTTCCGGACCTGTAATCCCGTCCTCCGGGCCACTATCCGGCTCCGGTCCGGTCTCGGCCCGGATAGTTGCTTCCATAGTTCCATAATCCCCTCTGACCTCATTCAAGATGCCATACATATAGCTAACTTCACTCTCCTTTCCCCCTCAGGGCCATAGGCCAAATGTTAATCATGGGATGGGACGGCACCGAAGTGACTCCCCAAATCCGTGAACTCATAGCCGACCACCATCTAGGCTCCATCCTACTCACAGCTAAGAACCTGAAATGTAGACATCACTCCCCCTCTCCCCCCCCCCCTTTTTTTTTTCTCCCTCAACTCTCTCCTCAAGATGACACAAGCTAACACCCGACCACAGCCGCCGAACAAACAGCCCAGCTCGTCCAAAAGCTCCAAACCATCGCCCACTCATCCGGCCACCCATACCCTCTCCTCATAGCCCTAGATCAAGAAAACGGCGGCGTCAACAGTTTATTCGACGAGTCCCTAATCTGCCAATTTCCCTCATCAATGGGGCAAGCCGCCGCCTCCAGCCCTTCCTTCTCCTCCTCCCCCTCCGGTAATTCCTCGGGTAACTCCGACCACCTAAACCTAGCCTACCAAATCGCCCAAGCCACCGCCACCGAAGTATCTGCCTGCGGTGTAAACCTCATCCTCGGCCCCGTCCTCGACGTGCTCACCAACGCGCGCTACCAACCCCTGGGTGTACGCGCAACCTCCGACGACCCGCAAGAAGTTTCCCAATACGGCATCGCCGCCCTGCAGGGCTACAAAGACGCCGGCGTCGCCACCTGCGGTAAACATTTCCCTTCCTACGGCAACCTCGATTTCCTGGGTTCGAATCTGGATATACCCATTATCACGCAGACGCTGGAGGAATTGTCGCTATCGGCGCTGGTTCCGTTTAGAAACGCGATTGCTACAGGAAAACTAGATGCCATGTTTGTAGGCGGGTGCGGGATCGCGAATCCGAGTATGAAAGTTGCGCATGCGTGTTTGAGCGAGCAAGTGGTTGATGAGCTTTTGAGGGAGGAATTGGGGTTTACGGACGGGGTGGCAATTTCGGAGTGTTTGGAGATGGAGGCGCTGCAGACGGAGATGGGCGTGCGGACGGGCACGATCATGGCTGTGCAGGCTGGGTGTGATTTGGTGTTGTTGTGTAGGGCGTATGATGTGCAGCTTGAGGCGATTTCTGGACTCAAGCTGGGGCTGGAGAATGAGGTTTTGACGAGGGAGAGGATTTATACCAGCTTGAAGAGGGTGTTGAAGATGAAGCGCGGATGCACGGATTGGAACAAGGCGTTGAACCCACCCGGGGTTGAGCTGTTGAAGAAGATCCATCCGAGTCATTTGGCCTTGTCGATGAAGGCGTATGATGACTCGATTACGGTCATGAGGGACAATGAGAAGCTGTTGCCGCTGAATCAGAGCATGCATCAGGAGGAGGAGCTGTTGTTGCTGACGCCGCTCGTTAAACCGTTGCCGGCGAGCGCAATGACCAAGACTATTCTTGAGGGAAGCTCGACCAGGATCAAGTCGGAGAATCCGATGCATGATAAATGGATACATAGGGAAAGGAGTGCCATCATGAGTGGTGAGGGGGTGTTTAGGGAACTTGGGAGGTCTCTGGCGAGGGCTAGACACGGGAAGTTGCTTCATACTTCGTATACCGCGAACGGCGTGCGGCCAGGTAATTATCCCCATCTCCCCTATTCTACCCCTTCAACATCATCTCACTAACACAATCAAGTCCACGAATCCCTCATCCAACGCGCCTCAACCATCATCCTCCTCACCGCCGACGCCAACAGGAACCTTTACCAAGCCGGCTTCACCAAGCACGTAGCAATGATGTGTTCCCTCCTCAAAGCCTCCGGACACAAGAAGAACCTCATCGTCGTAGCCGTCTCCTCCCCCTACGATTTCGCCATGGACAAGTCCATCGGGACCTACATCTGCACATTCGACTTCACCGAGACCGCCATGTCGGCTTTAGTCCGCGCCCTATTCGGCGCTTTTACGCCCCGCGGCACTTTACCCGGTACCCTCCGCAAAGCACCACGTAAGGCCGTGCAGAACTCAGCAGGCGGCAAAGCAAAGACGCGAACGCAGCACTGGCTCGTCGAGTCCTACGATGTGGAGAGAGACAATAAGGGACTGAAAGATCTGCTGTTCGCCATGGCCAGGGCCAGCGCTCCCAATCATCAGTACTTCTACGCCTTCGGCCCGCAATCGTTCTCGCTGTCCACCAGACAAGCTTTCATTCCGACCGGGGACCCGGAGCACGAGATGGTGATGGAAGAACAGCACTTGGTAGTCCGCAACTCCTCCACTGGCGCTTTGTACGGGTTTTGCTCCACTTACTACCTCCCCACCACTTGCACGGGCGTCATAGGCGCCATCTTCGTCGACCCGTCCAAGCGCAACGTTTCCATCGGGTACTCCCTCCACCGCCGGGCCGTGAGAAATCTCCTCCAGAAACACCCAGATATCAAACAACTTCAGCTGGGTTGCTGCATCCCGGGGATCTTCCCTGGTATCCCATTTGATCATTCCGATACCCTCACCTCAGCTATAACACCCAGCTCTACAACATCCACCCCTTCAGCCGCCTCATCGGGTCTCAAATCCTGGTTCTCTTCCACCTGCGGCTGGAATTTATCCCCTTCATCTTCTTCAGCGTCGACCCGCAACCGCACCCGCAAAATCTTTAACCTCATCCTCCCCTCCCTCCAAAGCTGGTCCTCACCCCCGGACCTGCCCACCACCCTCCAGCGCGCTGGTGTATCCTTCGACCTCATCTATGGCCGCACCCCAAGTACCCCAACCCCGACAGCAGAGCAAGAATCCGCCCTGTCCTTCGTCTCGTCCCACTCCTCGCCTGAGATCCTCCACCTCTACCGCCTCGCTCTGTTTTCTTCCAATCCCACGTACACGTGGATCATTCGCGCCAAGATCCAATCACCGGTGATAGAAAGAGGAGAGCAACTGGTAGGCACCATAGTAATCAGCAGTGATTTGGGAAGGGAATACCCTTCACTCCCGTCGTCCGCATCTAGTGGCGGGGCGGAGTTCACGGGAGGGATTATTGCGCCTGTTGTGTCATCATCATCTATGACAGGACAGCAAGCCAACTTGGTGTTGCAGGGCTTGGTGATGTTGGGGTTGAGACAAAATAAGAGGGATAAGATGGCTTGTTGTTTGTTGAGCTGGGTGAGTAATAGTTACTCAGGGGATGGAGATGTGGGGCTGGGGCTGGGACTGGGAAATAACATGGACACGTTGTTGGGCATGGGATTTGAGGTCCAGCAGGTTTGGGAACAAGTTACAAATGGTGTTGAGCAGGTGAGTGTCTCCTTTTCTTGATACAAGGGAACCACTTTAGGCAGTGATCAAGTGCTAACGTGATTACAGTTTGCTTCGCTTGGTTGAGCGGTTTGGATATGATTCGCGACATGATCTTCCGTTTTTTGGTGCGATGGAAACACTAGTTGGTATTGAAAAGTGATTTGGACTTGGGCTTCGTTTTGTTCCCTGACCATTATGGGAGACTGAAGAGGTACTTACTGCGATACACAACTTTATCTCCTTTATCCAATCTCCTAGGCTTGACGTCTTGGGCGAATGTTCACTTGTTTGCTGTCAGGGTGACACTGAGAATATGCTTTGTTTAGTAGTCTTGCTTCGTTCTTTGGGCTATTACCCAGACTAGGAAATGCAATCAGTTTACTCCGTCACGTATCCAGTCACCGGAACAATCTTCTTTGCCACTCCATACACACGTCCGACATAGCATCGGACTTGAGTCCAATGCCCTCCTCACTTCCAATACTTACTTTCTCCCTTCTTCAGGATTAGGTGTCAACCTTCTCAATGCTTCAGCGGCAAAAGCGGGATCACTCAACCTGGAGGCCATCCTGTCTGGCTCTAAGTCAATGTACTCCGACTCTGCCTCAGAACCTCCGTCCGAAGTATGACCATCTGATTGCGAGTGGGACTGAGGCTGAGCTCGAAACGGCTCTTGGGAATGGCGGGCGGCTGACTCGATAGGTGGAAATGATGAAGTCCCGAGGAGACCCAGGAGTCCATGACTTTTTGGCACGGGTTGAGCGAGGATTTCTTTCTCCAGAGCCGTATATACTGAAGACTGTGCTGGCTCGACGGGTTTTGCGAGAATGATTGGGGCTGTTTCGGCTACTGGAGAAATGGGAGACGGGGAGGTGTGGGCGGCCGTTGCTTTTGGCGTTGCCTCGGGTGTTAGTGGTCCGGTGGCGGTTTTGGGGTTGGTCTCAGAGGTACCAAGGTCGTTCCTGGTGGACAAGGATTGGTCACGGCCGTGATCATGGCTCGATTCTCGGTGTTCAACGGATTTGAAGTGCTGCAACATATTAGCACCGTCTGTTCTTCCCCCAATACCCAATGGATGGATGTACGAACCCTCACGGTCTTCCACATTAGTTCACCCGCCGCCTCCTCATCACAGACCACGATAGCCTTCTCGTGCATTTGCAATGCCGAGCCCGTCCACATACAACTCACCCCATCCTCTACACACTTTTTCAATGCTCTCGCCTTTCTCGCACCGAGAACGATCATCAGCACTTCCTTCGCCTCCGTGACTGTCTTCACGCCCACGGTCAAGGCCATACGGGGCATTTTATCCACATCATTATCGAAGAAACGACTGTTTGCGAGGATAGTATCTTCCGTAAGTGTCACGACACGCGTTTGTGAAGCCAAGCTGGAGCCGGGCTCGTTGAAAGCTAGGTGCCCATCCTCTCCCAGGCCGGCAAGAAACAGGTCAATTCCGCCGGCGGCAGCAATCTTGGATTCGTAGCGTGAGCACTCGGCAGCGAGGTCTGCGGCAAGGCCATTGAGAAGGTTGATATTCTGCGGAGGGATATCGACGTGGGAGAAGAAGTTGTCGTGCATATACGAGGCGTAGGATTGAGGGTTGGTCGGAGAGAGGGAGATGTATTCGTCCTAAGATGATCATTAGTGAGCCGTTTACACGAGAGACAGGAGGGAACATGCCATGTTGAAGGTTACCACATTCTCGAAAGAGACCAAGCCAGTCTCGTACTTCTCCACGAGAGACTTGTAGATACCAAGGGGACTGGAGCCGGTCGGGAGACCAAGGACAAAGGGACGAGTTGGAGTAGGAGAGAAGGAGGTGATGCGGTTGACGATGTAGTCGGCCACGTAGGAGCTGGCAGCTTCAGCATTGTCGCGGATGATGAGCCTCATGTCGCCAACTGGGTGATGCTTGAATGGTAGGAGTATTGAAGACAGAGTGCACGAATGGAAGAGGAATAAGAGATGATAATGCCAGTCCAATAACGGGCTAAAGATACTGTCTGAAAAGCAATGTCTGGAAGTCCTCTACGGGGAAAGACTCGACTCAAACGACGGGAGAAATAGAAGTTTGTGGGACTTTTAGTAGGGCATTCCTCAATGAGCTATCAAGGTGCACTGGCATCCTCGTTCATCGCCAGACGCGGAGATTGGCAAGAGCGACCATCACTCCAGTCCATGACGGGTACCTCGAGGGCCACAAACCAAAGCGTCGACCCCGCAAGGCGAATGGCATCAGCGACAATCCATGGTAACTTCCAGACGAGTTCCTCAACATGCCAACTCTAAGATTGGAGAAGGACAGATGGAACGTTCATCTTGGAATCATGATGTCGATGGCTTCCCTTCGGAGACCAACGGGGCCAGCGGTTGTGAAGGGAAGAAGAGTGACTGGTTGGTGTGATTGTGATTGGCGGTCACAGACACTTGTCGTGATGATTTTGTCACAAAGTAAACTGACACTGAAGAGTAAAGTGTGGATGGAGAGACATTTGTGAGGTGACGTCCCAACACACCGTTATCTTCGTTGTCATGTGCTGATCAGGTACAGGTGATACCGGGCCTGTATCATCCAGATAGGAGACACTCATCGTAATTCCATCCGATAAGCAACGCGGGGATGTTGTAAGAGGCACGGTCGACTTGTGTCAGATCATTCAATGCCTCAAAGGCTTCGTAATCTCGTAGCATGATGGAAGGTACGCGCAAAGTTTGATGAAATTGCACGTCGTCGTCGTCCTCGAGCTCCTTCCTTGATGATGTGATTTGATAGGGCTCGTGCGCGCCAGACCTAAGCCTTTAGTGCCAAGACTGGTCAAACGCACAGGTCGGAGCGGATGCACGGACCATGCTCAACGTCACACTGTACCTGGCTCGGCTTGTCAATCTGGACTCCGACTCCTTCAATCTTTCAACTTTCCATCCCACATTCCAATCCTCCATGTCAACATCGCATTCTGAACGGACTCCAAAGTCGAGCCAGGCCTAGCGACCATGGTTCACCAACTATGGGTTTGTCCTCCAATTGTTCCCGATTACTGATTGCAATGGCTTAAAGTCAAGTTGCCCCTCTACTTTCAGCGCCCAAAAAGACCGGGCAAGACTCAAACCCAAAAAGAGCGACACCAAGGCAACGTTACTTTCCCACCATGTTCATTCCTCCACTTGATGTTCACAGCGGCCGACCAACAGCCAAATCCCGAGACACACTCCATTAGAGCCTTCCCCAGGTCTTTTTTCTCCTGAAAGAATCCCCGCCTCGCATCCGTCCCTTGGAATCAAGCGCTGCAAGTTGCAACCCGCTTGCCGTCCTCCTGGTTACACCCAGCTGCTTTGTCTTGCCATTGGCTCTGCGCTTTATTCGCAATATCTCGACACTTGCACCCAACACCTCCATATTATTCTCGAGTTGATGTTCCGCCTTGATAGCTTGTGTCGTCAGCTTCGCAGTCAAAGCTGCTGGTCTGAGTGATCACCATCTCACCGACTCGCTAGCTTTCACTGCAAGACTGTTGATGACTTGATGCTTCAGCTGAGATATCTTGGAGTGACAACAAAGTGTCGCTCCCTAGCAACATAGCATCTGGATCAAGAGAGCCGCATCCCTTTGGGCCCTGGGCGACTAACATTGCCCGCTTCCACGGCTGTAACATGACATTTTATTAGTGGGTTTTCCAGCTGCGGCTCCTCGCGGACTTCCTTGCCTTCCTCCCCCCATCAGCTCGTGTTACTCTTCCTTCCATCTTGCTACCTTGCTTGTTGCTTCTCACCACCACACGACTCTACCGCCAGATTTCCAACACTCTAGACTACTGCTTCTTCTTGCAGCAGAGCCTCAAGGTCAGCATCGTATGCTTTTGACGATCCGTATTCATCGGCCTGTCAGTCTTTGGGCTCACCAGGTGACCCAGTGGTGAAAGGAGACAAGATCAGCAACGTGTTATTTTCCTCACACTCAACAGCATTCATTATTCAATCGGAGTATCGTTAGTTTCACGCGGAGGCTGTCTTATTCTCCCTTGAGCTTTCAGACGACTTAAGAAGGGCTTCCTTCCTCAACTTCACTCTCGACTCCAAATGCCAAGCTATCACTCGTTTTCGCAATGGCATCCCTCAAGCGATTAATCATAGACGCCCTCAAATCGCTCTCCCGAGGCAGGTCCTTCCTACAGACTTTGCTCGCCTTTTGGATCAGCCCAAAGTCCGACCCAACCAAAGTCAAACAGACCAGGAAATTCCAACGGGCTAGGGACGAGTTCCTCAAAGAGGCCAAGGAACTACTTCTCGGACCAATCGACAGCAACCGCTTCCTGCGACACGACCATTCTTTGATCATACCAAACAACAGCGATACAAATCCGAACCTAGACGACCCTCTTTTGTTGCTTTCCCGAAAGCTCAAGGCACAATTCCTAGAAGGGTTACAGACCAAGCCAACATGTATGCTTCCCTCCTACAATCACCAACTGCCTGGCGGACATGAGCGGGGTCGGTATCTGGCTGTTGACATTGGCGGTTCGACACTTCGCGTTGGTTTGGTGGATCTTAAAGGCCGAGAAATTACGAATGATGGCGACAACACCATTGTCCATCTGGACAATCACACGATAGACAAAGGCGCCCGATCACTAAGAGGAACAGATTTCTTCAAGTGGATGGCACAAAAAATAGAGACAAGTGTTAAAAGGACCATTGATGCCGGGCACATTTCGAGAGAGGAATATGAGTCGGGAGACCCATTGCCTCTGGGAATGGCGTGGAGCTTTCCTCTAGAGTACGTTACGCACCTCGCCCTTCTTTCATTCCGAATTCAGTCAACTAACATCACGACAGGCAAACATCTCCCAACGGAGGAAATATCTGCCCCATGGGCAAGAGTTTTCTTGCATGCGACGGACTGATCGGACAGGACCTAGGCGCCACATGCAACATGGTTTTCCGAGAACTCGAAGTGAACGTTGAGGTAGTCTCCATCGTCAACGATTCCAACGCCACTCTGCTTTCGTCAGCATACTTCAACCCCTCAACCCGCTTCGGGCTGATTCTTGGAACGGGTGTAAACATTGCCGCCCACCTTCCAATAAACCTGATCGGAAAGCCCAAGTTCGGAGACAGACCCGACAGCTGGTACGAGCAAGCGAGTCACGTTATGGTCAACACGGAGCTGGGCATGTTCGGCCATGGTATCTTGCCCCTGACGAGGTGGGATAAGATACTCAAAGCTGGTCACGAAAGACCGGACTTTCAGCCGCTTGAGCATCCGGTCAGTGGATACTACCTCGGTGAAGTCTTCCGTATTGCATTGCTAGAAGCGATCAAGACAACGGGTGTACTAGGAGGAGAAATACCACCACTACTGTTGGAAGCTTACTTTATGGATACGGAGACAATGTCGTTGATGGTAGAGTAAGTTTCTCCCTCTCTTTATCAGTTATCTCTTTACGCCCAGCTTGCTAACAAAATCAACTCACCAGTGGACTGGACTCCGGAGGCAAAGCAAAAGAAGTGTTCTCGCAGCTCTACCACCTGCCATCAGGGCTTCCTAGCACCGAGGACATGCAAGTCATACAGCAACTAGCAGGTTACATAGCTCAGCGATCGGCTTCCATTGTCGCAGCCTCGTTGTTCGTGTTGTGGGAGCTGAAGAATGAGGCCGAACAAATTCTTTTAGATGAACTTGAGCCAGAGTCACCATTTAGCGAAGAGACAGCAGTAGAACTACAGATAGAGCGGACCACGGTAGGATATACGGGGTCGGTTTTGTCGCACTTTCCTGGATACAAGGAGACGCTACAGTCTTACTTGAATCAATTGATAGTCTCGTCGGGGAACGATCTGAAAGAGAGGAGGATAGAGTTGGTTCAGGCGAAGGAAAGTTCGTTGCTTGGGGCGGCGGTATCGTTGGCGGGTATGGTTGAGGAAGAAGGGAGGATGAAGGTAGATGAGAAAGGGTCGACGTAGATTTGTTCAAAATCATTGATACGAGACCTTCTCAACCCACTTGCTCGTTCTTATATCAACCGTTAAGATTAGCCGTCGTCATAATATCTTCAAGGTGATCTGTGATCATGTCGTCGCCAAATCCACCAAACACCGGTTCCAAATTGACACTGTGTTCGTCGGGGACCCCAGACTCCACTCTTGACGGGAAGAAAGGTCTCCACTTGTCCCGTCTGGGGTTCATCGCTTCTCCACTCGAGCTTTTTCTTTCATTCATCCCGTCATGTCTTCTTCTAGATGCCATTGAACGCTCACCAGTTTGTTCTGAGCGAAAGGATGGATTTCCACAACACGGTATGGAGCATGAAACGCAATTGACTCTGACGGCGACAATCTGAGGGTCATGGAGTGTCAGTGTAACCTGAGTCTCTAGGGTTATCGGCGTAAACACGGCATACCCAACCCCCCAAGCGAACAGTGTCTTGGCGGTCAATTTTCTGTACGACGCTACCATGGCCTCGCCACTTGGTCTCTTTCTGAACACTATAACTGCTGCAGATACAGTTGATCACAGCCTCTCTGCCTGGCCTCGCTGACCTTCCGACTGGATCAAGTTGGTGCAAGCCGACAACGATAATACCACCACACACTCGCACCGGTCCCGTCGCAACGCCATTCCACCTCGACTGATCACACGGCGCAATCTCGACCAGACCCTTGATATCGAGCTACACTCCCAATGGTAGAAAAAGTCCCATCTCTCGCCATCCCCGACCAACAAGTCCAGGGCTCGATCCGTTCAGCCTCAGCCTCAGCCGATTGAACTGAGGACAGTTGGGAAACAACCCCGGACAACGGAAACACCACCATGTGTTTCAGAAGCGGCAAGGCATAAGCGACAGACACCGTTATCCGGGATCTCTTCCCGCCAGATTGCCACTCGAATCAGCTAGCACCGCCGTTTAGTCGTCACCGCGATCGACACACGAGCAGTACCGATATCGATATCGAATTACCTTATACCCATCTGTTAGGTACACCACGACGAGACGATGCAATGGCCAGCTTCAACTCCATACCGCCACTCCACAATGGCGCAACGGCCAATACCGCTGACGCCCTCGGGCTGAATGCCACTGGACAACCCATGGGCATGGGAATGGGAATTGGCATGGGTGATCCCTTTGGATTTGACGAAGCACTTCTGTAAGTCACTGTCACTAAATGCATTCAACACCAATGGCAGACGCAATCGTAACCGAAAACTAACCTCCCCAATTCATATCAACAGTGATGTCAACTCGGACCTTCACGCCGGCCTCCCTTTTACTCCATCCGCCTACGACTTCGACAACTTCACATTCGATGATCCCTTCTCCACGACGACATCCTATCCTCCCCTCCCGGGGCACTCGCACTCACACTCGCAAGGGCATAGTCACAATCACGGCCTGGGCAGCCACACAGCATACAACCTTCCATCCGTCAGGGGTCCTATAGTTGGCCCTGTCGCCGCCGAAGCTGAAGCCGCTCTTAAGAACACCATCAGCGGCGGCGGCATCAACGAAGCCGGCTCGCCCTCCGACCTCCTCGACAACAAACTTTTGGGGTTCAGCCCACCCATTCCCTCCGGACAGGCAACCCTCATCGACTCTGAAACGGGGCGGTTCGCAGATCTGAACATGACCGCCGAATTATACGGCATGTTCTTCGTTGCCGAGGATGTGTTTTCTGGTAATACGCCTGATCAAGGACAGAGTGGACAGAGTCAGGCACAACACCCGGGCGCTAGGCCGTTGGAGTTAACTTGTTATCGGCGAAATCTTTGGCAGTGCACGGGGCAGATCACGCTGCCTCGACCTGCGTTACAATGTTCGCTTTTGCTTGCTAATGATGATAATGGTGGTGGTAATGGTGGTGGTAATGGTGGTGGTAATACAAGTGGAGGAGCAGGTGGGAAACAAGCCCAGATCAAAGAATTATGGGCATCCATCACGGCCGTGGAAAGTATCGAGGGGAAACAGACGGAGATCATTTCGATTCCGTGGAAGAGTACGAGTAATCCTGCTGTCCAGGGACAGCAGCAACAACAACAACAACAGCAAGAAGAACCGTCGAAAACAGCGACAACCCCGCCGAAACAGTTACTCGACCTGTCAGCAGGCCAGGAGGTAGATGGGAGCGGGAACAGAGTGTTGATACCCGTGTCCTGGAAACGGTTGCAGTTTAAACATGCTACGGCAAATAATGGGCGGAGAAAAGGGTTGCAGCAGCATTATGTTGTGCAGATTAACTTGTTGGCGAAAACCACTGAGAGTGGGGAGAAACTGATCAAGTTGGCCGAGATCCAATCAGGGCCGGTGATTGTCAGGGGAAGGAGTCCGAGGAATTTTGATAGTAGAAGGGATGTACCGCTGACGGGCGATCGGAAGGGGATGGGGATGTTGCAGAGGACGAACACGGAGGGGTCTGTTGGCGGCGGTGTTGGTGCTGGGTTTGGGAGTGAAAACGGGAACAACGGATGCAGCAGCAACCGCAAAACATGGATAGATCGGATATGCTTCAGAGATGGAACTCGTTGGGGAATCAGGTGTGTTTTTACTGCCCTTCGATATTCTTTGCCCTTTTTCCAACCCTCAAATCTATCTTGGCCTTCGACCCCTCTACTCCTTTCCTGTCTTCAGCTACTAACTCTGCCAAATTAGTCCACAGACTGGTCCTCAACTCCAGCCCCCCAACCCTTCAGCACTTCACCCAACCCCCAACACCAACATCAACAGCATCCCAACAAAAAACTCGCCATGTCCGTATCCATGTCCTCCTCCGTCTCTCCAAACCTGGGATCAGGATCTGGGTCTCGACCACCAATACCATCATGGACATCCTCATCCTCGGACGTCAACAATAACAACAATAACGGCTCCCGAAGAAACAATCTAACACCCTCAGCTACCCCCACAGGCAGAAGGGGTCACCACAGAAGTACCTCCTCTACGACGTCAATACCAAATATACCAATACCAACTGCTGGTGCGCTGCCTATTAGTTTGTCTCTGTCGGAGGATGAGACGATGAGGAGTCCGCCTTTGAGTTTGAATAGGACTAATTCGGGGTCGGGGTCAAGTCTTTTGTATCCCATGCCTGGATGTGGTGGTGGTGGGTTGAAACAGGAGGGTGGGAAGGGGACGGGAATGGGGATAGGTGGTGGTGGTGGTGGTGGTGTTGGTTTGGGACTTGGTTTGGGGTCTGGTTCTGGTTCAGGGTCAACGACGCATACGAAGAGCGAGAGTATGAACCAGAGTCAGAAAGAGAATATGGGAAGTCCGTCGTTAGAGGCGGCGGATTTGTTGTATGAATACTTCCCGCTGAGTTTGGATGATTGGTTAGTTTTTCTTCTTCTTTTCTTCTTCCCCAGCACCAGTACCCTCTTCCCTTCTTCCTCCCTTTATCCATCCTATCCCTCTCTTTTTTTACTCTCACTCTCGCTCTCACTCAGCACTCAAGTTCTGGGACCTGGGGAAACACGTCGAGGCTGAGGTATGCTAACAACTATCAACATAGGATGCCACCAGTAGACGCAGTCTACCGGCCCCACGTCGTCCACCACACCATCGTTCCACCGGAAATCAAAGCCCAGCAAACGAGAAGCAAAACAAAACGATATTTTGCTGCTGAATAACATTTCACATAAAATTCCACAACAGTTGCTTGACATGACTTGACATCACCGGCCAGCCCAGGCCAGGCAGGACCTTTACGGCTGCAGATTTGCATGTTCATGTTCACATCCGCCTGCCTGCCCCATTTTAGCTTTCGTGTCGTGTCGTGTCGTGTCTGAAGCGAAGCGGTGCGGTGTTGTTATTTGCGCTTGGAAGTCAGATGATTGGGGCTTCTTATCCATAAGGTAGGTTTGGGTGGTTGGGAGTTTTGGAATTGGACTAGGAATTGGGATTCGGCTTGGGCGGGAGAAAGGAGGAGAAAGGATACCACCTATCGACATTATTGTATACAGCCGAGTTGGAAACTTGTGTCTTGGTCGTTCTTGTTATCCGTGCGTTTGGGAGATACCTGGGTGAGGTTATGGGATTGGAAAAGAACCAACGGGAATTTCTACCGTCGTTCCTTGATTTCAGCCTACCTTCATCTTCGACTTATGCTTTGGGCAGAAACCGCGAACAGCACAATATATATGAGCGTGTCTCCAATGAGCCTTCCTCACATCAGCCCTTTCCTTATGCCATCTGGTTAGGTAGGTTGAAATACAACATGCACATCGCGAATCACAACCGTCATTAAACAGAGTCTTGTCAAATCATGTTCTTAATCCAATCTTTTATTATCTCTTTTCCTAATTTCGTTATCTGAAGTACCCAAAGTCCCCATTGTTCTTATTTCCCACTTTTCGTTTACCCCCTTCTCATAGCGCGCGACATCTCCAATCTGCCATCTCCCATCAAGTCGTCATATGGTGTTGTTGTCCATCATCCAGAGTGCATGTAATCCAAGATACACAAGAGAGAAAAAGAGAAAGAGCCAAGAAACTAAGAACTAGGGAAAATGCAAACAAATCGCTATGGAATCCAAAAGCCGCAAAAAGAAAAAAAAAAAAAGCAAGGGTTTTATCCAGAGACGACACAGCGGCTTTTTGATCTTGTAGAATGCATGACTTTTGGGCTTTCCGTCACTTTTATCCTTCAATTCCATCTCCATGCCCAGTTGGCAAGCCTAAATATAGTACATGGAATCCCTAAGTTTGGGGTGAACAGCTCCAGCGTTGGCATATGTTTCGAACTCTCCGGATTTGACGGTCTTGTCGTCATCAATGGCATCGAATAGCTCCTTCATGTGAATACGCGCCCGGTCACACACCAAGTCGGCATAGTACGCGGGCGGGCAGATGCTGACGGCCTTGGTGGCTCGGCCAAAGAGATAGCACATGTCGTGCGTCAGTTTCTCCAGCATGTCGGCCGCCTTGTTTCCATAGTCGGCCCTGAAGATCTCATCAACCAGAACCGTGTAGTGAGCTGAGCGGGCCGTGCCCTGAAGCGACGCGTGCGCCTGCAGAAAGAAGTCCCAGTAGCGGACGTTGGTCACGCCGCGGTCAACGACGGTGCCCTCTTTGGGGCTCTTCGACCTCAAGTGAATATGGTTCGGGTCCGTGGGGAAGAAGCGAGTCTGGTGGCGCTTGACAGAGACAATCAGCGTGATACGCGGTACCTTGCCAGCTGGATACATCTCCTTGCAGGCGGCACGAATCAGGGGTAGTTCCTGATTGATGACCATCTGAAACTGTCCCTCAGAGACACCGTCGCGGAAAATCAGGATATTTTCGGGGAGAGTGCGGTTGTTCACGGGGTTGTTGCGCCACAGTTCCAGACGTGTCTTGAACTTGTCGGTGAATTGCTTCGTCATAGATTCCTGTCCGCGGGGGTTGTTCCAAACCATCCCAGGCCATTGTCCAAGATGCTGGTCAATCGTCGACACCAGGCCGACGATACTGGGAGCCGTTGAAGGCGATTGTCCAGCTGTTAAATTGGTCGGATGGGTAACATCATAGCCAACCACCATGGTCTTCCCCTTGGCAAGCAGAGGAATTGGCGTCTTGATGTTGTGGTTTGTGCCGCCAAACTTGAGGTTGACCTTGAGGCCCACGTTGGCATAATACCCCGCCTGCCCCTTTTCTTCAACCAACTTTTCGCCTTGCACACAAACCGTATGGATGCCATACTTCATATCGGCCGCTCGCTTGACCCAACTGTAGGTAGTAGAGTCCTTGTCGGGTAGAACCACCACCAGGAACTGGTTCGCGCTCATGATTTTCATCACGCGGGCGTCAAACTCTTTGTCGGTTGCTGGAACTACGAGGGTTTCGCCCGGTTGGAACCTGGGGTTGATCGGGATGCCCGTTTTGTTCAGAAATACGGCAAAACCTGTCAGAGCCTGCTCTATCTGTTTTGTGGTCGGAGGCGGTCTCCTTGAGGAAGGAGATTTGAGCTCAAGGTACGTCCACTTCTCAATCTTGCGGCAAGGTCTGGCCACCTTGACAGACCTCATCAACCACCCGCCATCCTTCGCCTCTACCTGTTTGTCACCGTACGTAAGCATCGGAGGCTGAAGCTCACGTCCGACAACGGTAAGCAGCTCCTTGTCGACAGAGACCTTGAACTTGCCAAGTGTCACGCTGTTATCAAGACCAAGGGTTTGTCTACCTTTCGTCACGATAGACTGGGCGTTCAGCGAAGGAGCACGGCATGCAAAGTTGATCATGGCCTGTGCCTCCTCAGGGTCCAGTTTAGTCTTGACGGAGCGGCCTTTGACCAGCGTACAGAACTGGGACAAGACGTAGATAGCCTTGTCTTTACTGCCGACGTTGACCAGAGGAAGCGATGGATCTGCTGTGATGCCGTATCGCGCTTTATAATAATCCTCTACCGTGACGTACTGATTGGTCGGCAGGCCTTTGATTGGAGGAGGGGGGGCGGAACCATCCTTTGCCTGTGGCGCACGCAGATAGAACTTAACTGATCTTGGGCCGCCAGTGGTAAGAGTCGGAAATCGGAATTGTGGCTTGGTTTGCCCCCTTTCGTCTTTCGTACTAGCAATGCCATGGAGCGTACGGTAGCACTTCTTCATCTGAAGCTTTCCATTAGTCATGAATGGGAGTTCTACCTCGACGCGGGCTTTGGATAGGATTTTGTCGACTCTTTGCAGCCTCTTTGCATAATATGCTAGTTGAGCGTTTGCAAAGGTGTCACACCGGTCCATGACGTTGAGTTCAAGCTTCTGGAAGAGCTCTTTGAGGGGGACGCCAGGACGGAAGACGCCATGCGTGATGTTGGCGTTGAGCAGAAGTCTTCCGGTAGCTGGACGGACGCTGGCAAAGTATCCACGCATGATGACCAAAGGGGACCCGTTAGGAATGATTTGTTCAACGAGGTCATCACCGAAGGCGAAAAACCTTCCTCTTCCCACCACCGCGATTTTATCGTTGGCGCGGGCATAGTGAGTGATGATGGTGTTGAGGGCATCGAGTTCCACGTTGTACTTTGGGAAATCTCCGTCGAGCTTGGGATCAAGCGTCGTGAGCTCGCTCAGCACCTTGCCGAGGTCGCATTCTTCAACACTCTCCTCAACCTTGACAAGCCAGGTCTGGGGCTTGTTGGAAGTCGCATCAGACCATGTCACCTCAAAAATGCGGTTGGCGGGAACTGGGAGCTTCGTCGGCGTCACCAGATGCACTTTGAAATCGCTGGCGACGACCACGGACTGTGCGCTGGCGCCAATCTGCTCGAGCAGTTTCCCAATCACCACCTCCACTTTCTTGGATGCGACGTCGGCTTCCTTTTTGAGAGCTTCCTCGCTGGCGGCAACCTTGATGGTATACCTGTACACCGCTGGCGATTTGATGTTTATCTTGAAATAGTTGGTCCAAAGTTTCACCTTCCCGCCCGTTGTTCCATGGCCAGGGCGAACCGGCAAGTTGTTGGCCTTCTCCTTGTCGCTGACCGAAAGCTTGCTCATGGCAGTGACCAGATTGTTGCTGACATGCTTTTTGATCCAGTCGTCTTCGAGCTTGGTAATGCTGGCGTCGGGTTCTGGGGCACCGCGACCATCAATTCCCCTAGTCATGTTAGCTTCATGTTGAGAATGGTGCCAAAAAGGAGAGGTACTTACTTGTAAACATCGGGAGCAAATTCTCTGCCTCCTCCGCCATGGCCACCACGGCCGCCGCCTCGGAAACCGCCGCCGCCGCCACGACCACCCCTCTCACCACCACCTTGGTAGCCGCCGCCACGGCCACCTCTCTCACCACCGCCTTGGTAACCGCCGCCACGGCCACCCCTTTCACCACCGCCTTGGTAACCGCCGCCACGGCCACCCCTTTCACCACCACCGCGACCACCACCACCACCACGGCCTCCTCCACGATCATTGTATCCGCCGCCGCCACGACCTCCACGACCGCCACGATTGTCAGACATGATGGCTAGACTTGTGGTACTAGTGGTGACAGATTTTCGAGTAGAGAGAAACAAAGGCACGAGCTTGTTTCGGCTGGTTTGGTTGGCTGTTGTCTTTCGGATCGGATCGGATCGGATCGGATCGGATCGGTTGATGAGATGGTTGGTTGAGCAGAAAGTTAGGTAGGTAGATAAAGCAAGAGAATATGCTGCGAGGGAAGATCTTGTTGTTGTCTTTGTTGGAATGATATAGAGTTGGAGAGGTGGTGGAATGATGACTGGACAAGCCGGTAGGTTTGTTTGTTGTCGTGGGAGAAAGGAGGATGGATGGATGGGTGTGTTTGCCAAAGAGAGAAATACCACGGATGGTGATTTCAACAACTTGGACTTTATAAGCCGCTACTTGTGTCGCACTCCGGACGCAAGAACTAAAGAGTAATCGAGCGAACGACTACTCCAGTGATTGCGAAGGGTTACTGGTAGTAGATGATATTGATGTCGATATCAGAAAGTGATGATCAGTAGGTGAAGGTCTCTAGTCGGAGCGAAAGAGAGGTGAGCAACTAAGGTGATTGCCAGCTAAGGTTGTGATAACCAAAGCAAAGCAAAAAGGAAACGAGGTTTGTGCTACGCGGATAACGCGAGCAAGAAAGAGGATGGCGATTTGTAGACAGACAGGTGTCAGGTAGAGAAAATAGGATGGATGCTGTGTGGAAATTTCGCGAGAGGATTGTCGTGGAGGTCGTGTTCTATTTAACAGCACCGGCAGGAGCACCACAGGAACGCGCCCGCTGTAGCTTCTGAGCTTGTAGCTGCCCGATGGTCGAGGTCCCCACACGAGTTCTTGAGCCTACAGGTAAAGGGGCGGGGTGTTTATGCTAGTGAAAGCACCAGCAAATGGGTCAGGTAAAGCCTGTAACAATTCGTTAACAACAAGCAGTGATCAACAGCTGAAAAGGAAGTTGTGGTAGGACAGCGTCGATTTAGGTCTACTGTGATAAACGGGCTGTGGAAGTGGTGAAGCCATTCGCCGGGCGGGAGCTGCCCACCAAGAAGGAGGCAGGATGAAAGGAGTTGCCCGCTCATTCATTTCCCGTCCCCAGAGCCTCGTCGACCCGTCATTGTATCACAGCTCTGACTGCTTCCAAGAAGTGCAGGAATCAGTGACTCAAACTCGCTGCTTGCAAACGAACAATCAGTGGGTTGGACTGAGGGCGGGCGGGAAACAAGCAAACAGATTGGACAGGTCGTTGTTGGTTCGGGCCTCACGCAGGAAACCAAGTCAAGTGCGGCGACGTGGTGGTTGATGAATAACTCTTGTTGGTGGAGGGAAGCGGGGAATGGATGGAGTTTTCGCCCCTTTGTGCGATTGCAAGAAGAGTAGGTGAGGGGTTGTTGTCGTAAGGGTCTGTTACCGTATTTCGGTATTATCGACGTAGAGACTAACAGGACGGCTGAGGAAACGCAAGTTGCAAACGACTTGACAAGACCCTGTGCTTCCCAAGCCTTCCCACGAACGAAACGTCGGTGCTTGTCCAACCGCGGGCACCATCAAAGCAAAAGTCAAAGACTGATGATGATGATGAGCCATATTGTGCAACAAAGAGAGCCTCGCTTGCTCAGTGACACGAAACATCAAAGAAGCAGGACTTGCGCGAGGGGCTACTTTTGGTAGACATCAGCAGCAACGTCTCTGCTGTCCTTCATCAATTGGAATCGGAATCAACTATCCAACATTATTGTTGCCTCACAAGTTGTCAATCATAAAAGCAAAAGACAGCCAATGATGACGTGACAACACCATATTCAGGCAGGCAGGCAGATATGGCAGATATGGAGGAACCGAAGGCAATTGGTGAGGGAAGAATAAGAAGAGTGAGAAGGCACATGGTGTGGCCGATGACGATGAGGCCCGCTAGAGGCCCAAGATCTAATGAAGAGGCAAGATTGAGGCTTACAGTTGCTATCTGCCGTCTCTGTCGTTATCACCACCATCGAACTTGTCGGAGTAAGAGCGGATTGTCGCAGTGTAAATCTTGGAAGTCGTCAACTCGATCGTCGTCGGCGGTAGGTAGCTCGTAACATGCATTACAAAACTACCGGACGAAATATTTGGTACGGCCCCATTTTTTCTCCGTTACCCCCGCAGCTGCCTGCTTCCGCTTCCGCTCCCGTCCCGGTGTTGTGGGCCGTGTGTCTGAGTCGGGGTGCCGGATAGTGGAAAATGGTTTTTTTTTAATGATTTCCTATCATCATTTCCAGCTCCTCTCTATTTT